GATGCTGCTTGGCCTGCTGTGTTCATCCAGCCCTGCACCTTGTTGTCCATGATTATAAGATGTTCTGGTTATTACCAAATTAGAGCAACATTTCCAATTTATCCAAACTACAGGTTAACTAGTGTACCTGTTTTGCATATAATTTGTGGGTTTCCTCTGTGTGCTCCAGTTTCCTCTCACAATCCAAAGATGTGCAGGCTAGGTGGATTGGCCATGCTAAATTGCCCATTGTGTGCAGGGATGTGCAGGCTAGGTGGATTAGCCATGGGAACTACAGGGTTACAGAAGTAGGGTAGAGGGGTGGGTCCGGGTGGGATGCAGTTCGGAGGGTCGATGTGGACTCAATGGACTGCATGGCCTGCTTGCACACAGTAGGGAATTCTATGATAAATAAAATCTATGACTGTGTATCATTGTGCAATCTGCATGTGTAAGTGCATTATTATTTAATGATAAAAACCCTTTGGGAACTCATGTTAGTGCTAAGTGCAGGTTAATGGAATTTGGAGAATTTTTTTAACATGTGCCATATTGATTTGTAAAAATATGTTACCAAACCACGTCTTGCCACAGAGCTGGATCTCTGCACAGGTAAATTCCACGTGCAGTAACTACATTCCAGAAGCAGGGCCAAAATCAACTCAACAAAATTATATCAGAGATAGTAGGAACTGCAGATGCTGGAGAATCCGAGACAACAAGGTGCAGGGCTGGATGAACACAGCAGGCCAAGCAGCATCATAGGAGCAGAGAGGCTGACGTTTCGGGCCTAGACCCTTCATCAGAAAAGGGGGAGGGGAAGGGGGTTCCGAAATAAATAGGGAGAGAGTGGGAGGCGGATAGAAGAGGGATAGAGGAGAGGATAGGTGGAGAGAAAACAAACAGGTCGAAGAGGCGGGGATGGAGCCAGTAAAGGTGAGTGTAGGTAGGGAGTTAGGAAGGGGATAGGTCAGTCCAGGGAGGACGGACAGGTCAAGGGGGCGGGATGAGGTTGGTCGGTAGGAGATGGAGGTGCGGCTTGAGGTGGGAGGAGGGGATAGGTGGGAGGAAGAACAGGTTAGGGAGGCAGGGACGAGTTGGACTGGTTTTGGGATGCGGTGGGGGGAGGGGAGATTTTGAAACTTGTGAAATCCACATTGATACCATTGGGCTGCAGGGTTCCCAAGCGGAATATGAGTTGCTGTTCCTGCAACCTTCGGGTA